CTGTGAAAGCAAGCTAAAAATAAGATCATTTTTCCTGGACTTCCACTCAAAACAGTCAAACACTGGATTTAAATAGCACCGAGCGCTGCGCTGGCAAGGCACACTCACTTACCAACCCTATTCAGTCCTTCAGCCACTTTGGATGCTTTATTTCGCGTTTCTTCATGTCGATCACAATAAATTGACACAGACAGGTGACAATCTCCTCCACTGCTCGCGCTTTTTATTCCAAAAAAATGAGAAGAAACCAAAAAAAAAAAAAAAAAAAGAGTAGCTTTTCTGGAACAAGACAGGAGAGCTGAAATCCGCCTGAGTTCCTCTGACGACTGACGGCAAATGTGCGAGTGAAGAGAGCGACTACAGCTCCGAGACAAACTCAACCGAGCGATTAAAGGGGAGGTGCTTCACTCCCAGTGGAATACTATCCTCCTATTCCCTTTCGGAGTCAGCCGACCGTTCATTCATTGAAATATCTGCACATCATACCGGCGGCAACAAGAGACACATCCTCTTTCAAAAGCACAATAACTGCACGGGGGGAAACAGATGAAGAACAGTAACTGGCGGGTTAAATAAAAAAATAAAATAAAAAACAGCTCGCACGAATGTGCTCCAGAGATGTGCATTATTTATTCGCATGACATCACTGGAGAGTTTTCCTGTTTTAGCTTCACTGAAGGTTTTTGAAATTATTTAGCAGGTTTCCTTTGGAATAAAGTCTAACTACAAAAGCCTGAAGGGTGAACAAAACTGTTATCTGGATCCTTATTTAAAGGGTTTGGTGGAATAGGGGAATCCCATCATCCTCTGGGCGACATGAACAGTGTTGTAATGAAGTTTAGACTGAAGTGGAGACACAATAACATGTTAACAAAAGCACTGAGGCCTATCTACTCTGACAGAAAAATAAGGCCATTTGTTGAGTGTTTGTTTCATCCCTTTTATTTGATCCTTTTCGCCCTCTCCTCTCACAGATGTCCCATTATCCAAGGTCCAGGCGGGTAAATGGAATCGTGTGCTACGGTGGGTAAGGCCATCTAAGTCTGTTAAAAGGCCGTAAATGCCTCTTTCTTTACGACACTCATGAGCTCACTTTCTCCCAGGGGCAGCAGACTGGATGAGGTCATTGAGCTAGAATCCACCCCCACTACCGCTATCACCACAACCATCAACATTATCCCATCAAGACCTTCACATCTTCCTCCTCCTCCTCCTCCTCCTCCTCCTCCTCCTCCTCCTGGCTGCATAGTCTGTCTGCTCCAGTGTTCACCAAATGTCAGACCTAAAGGAGGGTCATGGGGATCATAAATAAGTCTCAAAGTGTTTGTGAGGGAAATCTGAAGTCACTGAGTGGGATGATTGCAAACATCTTGCGGGTCCCTGCAGTCCGATTTAAATCAGTTACAGAGGTGAAGGACAGGATCAATTTCATGACATCGGCCAATACAAAGGGCCTGTCAAGATGTTCTCTGTGGAAAATAAGTTCTCCAGGGTTGGACACCTGTTTAATGTCTTACTGTTCTAGTCCTCCCCCAAAAGATTGTTTTTTAAATATTAACAGATCAAGATTGTAGGAACAAAATACAGTGGGAACAAGATTCATATATTGTAACAACCTGTCATTATGTGGGAACAGGATCAATATGTTGTGCTAAAGGTCTTATCTTCTGGGAATAGATCCATTCATTCAATACGTTTATACAGATCTTGTTGGCACAACATAGGATCTTGATACAAGATAGACTATTTTCACATGTTGTCCTCCTAAGATAACTTCTGCACACAAGTTAAAATCTTTTTCCTCTGATCTTAAAAATATCCCGTATTTTGATTCTTCAGGGACCTTTCCTCTATCTTTCTGTACTCCCCATCTTCCTCTGCCATTCTTTCCTATCTTTGCATTTTTATCTCGTCAGATCTCTAAATGTAACAATAATCTTCCTTCTCTCCCCCTTCCTCTAACACCTCCTCTAACCCCCCTACAACCCAGTAACATATTGAGCATACATTAAATGTGTGTTTCCATCCTGGATGGGCTGAGAGCCAGAACTGTGTGGAAGAAAAGATTGAAACTGAGAAAGAAATGGAAAATCAGAGACAGGCAAGCTGTCACACTCGGCAAGGGGAAGACGCATGGAGAGCACAGGGGAGAGAAAAACAGAAATGGAAAATCAGGATCTCTCACAGTGAGAGACAATCTCAAACAGACAGACAGACAGACAGACAAAAGTCATTGTGTTTTTTTTTCATGCAAAATAAACACTGTTGCGTAGGAGCCAAATTTTTAATTGAATCAAGCAGAAACAACACGGCGCTGTGGAATGTTTCAGAGAATTAATAAGACTCGCTCATTATAAAGGGCTAAATATGGATGTGACATTTTCTCTGAACTTCACGCTTTGGGTTGTTGCTCTTTCCCAGTTGAACAGCATCACTTATGAATCTGAAAGGTACACAAACAGGCTGTAAAGCACCAGTGGCTGTACACATTCATGTGCAACCTGACATCGACAAAGGTTCTCTTTCAAAGCCATGAATGTAATCTGAATATAATGAGTCTCAGTTGAATTTAGGGGCTGGAGAAGAAGCTACACACACTTGTAATGTGGGAATAATTGATTGCCGCAGTTTCCTCTGCTTTGCATTTACTGCCCTCATTTGGTGGCTCGTGTGTATTGCATGCATCATTTAGAAATAACAACAGAGCCAGGGTCTCATGTAACTTCATAGTTTGTGAAAATAAAAATAGCCTGTTAGTATCCCACAACCCGGGCAACGTAGATGGACATTAAAAAACAGAAGCATTAATGCCAGGACCTCAGTGAAATGCCAGTTTAGTAAAGTATATAAGTTCAGTAGCACCCACAACAGCAGAGTCATATTTAGGATAGCCCTACACCTAGCTTTACTTTGACTCACCTCTCTCTCTTTCATTACACTACAAACGTGTTAACTTCCGGGGTCAGCTCTTCCGGTGTTGCCATTGGTTGAATTCACTTTTACGTTTTAGTGATTGGCTGATTAAAATGTCCAAAATGAGGAACTTTCCCAACAACCCCCATGATGAGTTGCGAGCTCGAGGTGCAGCTGAAACGGGGAACACGGACAAAAGATGACAAGTCGTACATGACTGAAGGCTACTCTACAGTGTCCATCCGTCTGTCCAACACAAACCAACAGCTCTGCACTTCGGCACGAGCCTTTGAAAAGTGCTCCACGTTGAGCTGGCTGTTCTGCGCGCGACAGTCAGGATATATCATCCATCATCGCCAATCAAACGCTGATCCGGCGTTTTGCGCATTGCTGATTGGTTGATTTACGATAGGGGCGGGTACACTCCTGCTGTCCGCCAGACTGCAGTGACTTCACAATTCAGCTGATGGGACAGAGGAAACACTCACCTGGACCAGTCCTGTCCGCCACAGGTAAGCTGCATGTATCTGCAGGTCACTTTATAGTGGTGTGTTCACTGCATTAGGTTTTATGTTAGCCTGGTGTTGGTATATTCCTTATGTATTCCTGACATTTTGGTACACCCACGTGTTGCCATGTTGCTGGGACCACTGTTGATGGTCTAGTCATCATGGGTAAATAAGTTAGAACCCCTTGAAGACACACAGAATAAGCTGAAACTTACAATAACACTCAAGTTTGTTCCTTTACAGTGTTCACTGCAGTGTTCCTGTTGAGACAGAGGCCATCAAACCATCATGAAGAGTCTGAAGGCAAAGTTTAAAAAGAATGAGGTAAGAGCCATCTGTTGAAGGGCATGTGAAGCTTTACAGGTGGGAGTATTTGAAAAGTAGTACACCTGTTTGCTATTCCTACAAGCTATTTAGAGATATGAGTTCTACAAGCTGTGTTTTAACCTACTATTACAGTTGTTTGGCTGTTCTACATTAAGTAGCCATTTATATAGATCCCAGGTTGCTCCTGTGTGTGTGTGTGTGTGTGTGTGTGTGTGTGTGTGTGTGTGTGTGTGTGTGTGTGACGGGGGCACTGGGATTCAGTGTCACTGAGCAGCAGCAGGAGAGCAGGGCTGTCTCCAGACTGCTGCTATAACCAGAGATCTCAGGTAGCCCTCAATTATTCACACGTACGTGCACACACACACACATACACACACGCACACACACACACACTCTCAAAGAATCCCTACTTTCCTGCTGTCATCCCGGTGCTACTCTGAAGGGCTTTGTAATGTGGGGGTTAACCTTGTATTTATTTTTACAATTTTTATGTTTTTGCCAGCTCCATGTGGCTAATTGCTTATTTACATACTGGGGCCAGTGATCTTGCACCCTCGCAGCACTGGGGCACTGGTGCAAGCAGATAAGGTGGCTCAGTGTTGTCTGAGCATTTAGTTCCTGATGATGCTTTTAGCACCATTACAGCCTCTTAGTGTCCCTCGCCTTAAGGAGAAATTCTACCTCTACGCTATTACTGGTGACTAGGATGATCATCTGTCTTATATTATTATTGTCCAACTGTCAGATGGGCTGATGGCATGGATGGATGCTAAATATCCTGCATACACACATCTTCCCCACATACATAAACCTCTCCATAGCCCTAAGAGACTTTTTGCTTGTTTGTGAGCCTCTGTCCCCTCGGTCCTGTAAATGATCATCCAAACCAGCAGAACAGAGCCAGCACCTCTTTCTGCTGAGTCCTCACATCTCACAGGCCCTGCTCTGTAACTGCAGAGAAACAGATCTACAGTATGACGCTGCCAGGAGGGGGTACCGTGCAGGAATTGACAAAAAAAACAAAAACAAATGGAGAGAAGGAGGAAGCCTGCTACAGAAAATTACTAGGTTAGAGAAAGGAGGACAGTGAGGAAAGGAAGGAGGTGGCGGTGTGAGAGATGCAGAGAACAGACTGGCTATGTCCCTGCTAGCAGCCGAGGCAGAATGATGGGATAGCGTGTTGGCTGCGGACAGGGAGCACTGCACAGGCAGACTTTGTTGTAAGGACAGCAGATAGCAGTGATATAGTGTGCGTATATGTGTGTGTGTGTGTGTGTCAGAGTTTTTGTGTTGCGAGCTTTTTAGTTTGTGTGATTTTGTGAATAGCATATATTCTCTGGTATGTAGGTCTCTACTGTGACGATGCTGTGACCTCTAAAGGGTATCGGGTAGAAACTTATGGGTAGCAGAGTTCCCTACAGTATCTGATGTAATTGTGTAGATTTGTTATGTAGCCAGACGGCAGTGTGTAAGGACACACAGCGGTGGCTTGGTGCTCTGTAGCTGCATTTAGTTGTGTGTGTGATGCCCTGCTAGCCGTTATGGATCCTCAGCAGCCGGTTTTTAGCCTGATGAAGCGGCTCTGCCCTTGTTTCAGCCTGCTGCCGCTGCCAGTGGGTATCTTCTCTCTCTATCCACTCTCTCTCTATCCACTAATGTTTAATGAAAAATATTTAGTTTTATCCATCTTTTCTTATAATATTTCTGTCTTTAAAGTAGTTTATTATAACTTGTCAAAACTGGTATCTCATCTTAATTGTATTATATTTATTTTAATGTCATCTATTGTTTTTTATGCAATGAAATATGCAGTGTGGTATCAGTTTTCATTGGGGCTAGTCTGGGTGGTGACCTGTTCTCTGGCTTTTGCCCCCCTCAGAGTCAGGACTGGAGTAAGAGTGATGAGAGGCTCCTGCAGGCTGTGGAGCAGAATGAACCCGACAAAGTCTCCGCTCTCATCGTCAAAAAGGGCCTCTGCCCTACCAAGCTGGATGCTGAGGGCAAGTCAGCGTAAGTTGGGCATCTACTTTTTACGTCTTAGTCAATGGAAGGAATTCAGTTATTAGAAGTAATTGTTTTTATCTGAGACATTGGAGTTTATATTCTTTTTAGTTCTACTCTTTAGTGTTGTAGTTATTTTAATAAGTAATTTGTTGCTCCTGGTTATGTAAAACACTTTTCAGTGCCACGTGTTTAAAAAGATTCTATAGATTCCACTATGAATTTGGCTTGTCTGTCCAATTCTTTATCATCCTTTTTCCTTGTTTTATTACCTACGAGTAATCAGTAGTGGAGCTGAACAATTCTCACATTTTTAATGGAAACCTATTCTCATTTCTCTCTCTAATCACTAGTGACTATGTGCTGTCCTTCTGGCAGGTTCCACCTCAGTGTGTCTCGAGGCCGGCTAGATTGTCTGGAGGTCATCATCTCTCAAGGAGCAGACCTCAATGTCACTGATGGTGTTGGTAGGGTATTTTATTATCAAATAAAGCTTTATCTCATAAGCCAAGGCTGTTGAATCACATGTGTCATGGTTAATTTATAAATGTCTGTTTCCAGGCTTCACCGCCCTTCACCTCGCAGCCAAAAACGGCCAATCAGAGTGTTTAAAGAGACTTTTACAGGTAAAACACAGGATGACAGCATAGCCAGGATAAGCAATAAAAATACAAATGGAATGACACAAAAATTTACTTTAAAACTGCATTAATTAGAAATGGTTAATCTTTTGTTTGCTGTTATTTCTATTTTCCCTGACAGGAGAGATTAACAGTAGATTGCACCGACAGTATTGGTAGGACACCACTTCATCATGCAGGTATCAGTTACACAACTTCAATATGACACAAGATTGGTTACACTACAGTCATTCTTTGCATACAACAAATTCTTCTCATAAATCCCAGTGGATATATTAAAAGTAAGGTGTAAAGGAACACACAACTCTTTTATCTACCATCCAAACTGCACAGAATAGTGCTGTGAGATTTCAGTTGCATTACATGATGCAAATACAGCACATGTTATACTGTAAACATCAGATTGACCCTAATTCTGATGATTTCCTGCAGCGGTTAGTGGCTGCTTGTCCTGCACTGAGACCCTGTGGGACTTTAAAGCTGATTTGGATGTCCAGGATGGGGTAGGTTAAAGAGTTAATCTACAGTATATTCAGTTTGGTTTGCTGTTTTTGGGGAATTGTTATGTGAGACGAATAAATAAATGATTATCAGTGATTTAGTTTTTATGTACTCTGTCTCTTATCTAGTACACTGGACAACATTATCAAACATCTGTGTTACTGCTCTGTGATGTTTGAATGATCACGTGTATCTCTCTGTCAGGACGGGGCCACCCCTTTGATCTTAGCAGCCCAGATGAGCAGAGTGGAGCTATGTGTCTTTCTGTTGGGTCGAGATGCCAACGCAAACATACAAGACAACCAGGGAAGGTACTGGACTGTTAATCATAGTCTCCCAGAGATATTTTCTACTTCTCCACTGTTGTAGGTGAGGCAGCGGGACCACCGTCCTATGTCTATCTCACGGGTCCTCTCTTGTAGCTGACGCTGAAGCTCTGACAGATGGAATGACAGAGAATGTGAGACAGTGGGAGGCCTGCTGAGGCAGACTGGCGCTTGAAACAGCCTTCTTACAGTAGCTAAGCTAGAACCAAAAAACCTCTTCAGGATTATTCTCACAGCAGTGGGGTGGTCTGGGTCAGCATACAGGAAGGATTCCCATAGTCTCGAGTGCGAGGGGTAGATTTGGAAGGATGCAAGCCAGGACCTCCAGCAGGGACCAGCAGCTTTCAGTTTGTCCTCGGATATCTTCTTGGAGAGGATGATTAGAGAATTATTCCCTGGTTAACGAGGTGAAAGACCAACATTTTATGGAAACATTTTAATGCCTTGTGCTTAAAGTTATATAAATCCTGTCCTGAAACTGATCTGATCTTCTGGAGTTCTGTAGGTTTATGTTTATATTTTATATTTCAAGTGAATTTATGCCTATTGCATTGTTAGTTGACTCAATGCTGCTGTTTTCCTGTTGTACTATGATATTTTTTTGTTTGTAATTGCAGGTCAGCATTAATGCTGGCGTGTGAGAGTGACAGCGTTGAGACCGTAGAAGCTCTACTGAGGGGTGGGGCCAACACACAGCTGGTTGATGCACTTGGACACAAAGCCACTGACTACAGCATAACCACGGGCAACCAACACATCTTGCAGATGTTGCAGAATGGAGCACCTCCAGGTACAGTATGAGGCCCAAAGTCTTTTTTCAGAGACATAGAAGCGACCGAAGATTTCACAAGGCCTAGACGATTCACTCTCTCTGTTATAATATTATTATAAATTAAGCCTAGTTAGTTCTGTTAAATCAGGTGGAATAAATGAAACCGCTCATGACAGCAGTTGTTTTTAATGTGAAGTGGCAGCGTCACATGAAACACGTGGCAGTAACATCCAACAGATCGTCACACCCGTTATATGGCTTCTGTTCGTGTACGTGCTGCTCCCGATCCTGGCTGTGTCTCCGCTCCCCCAGGAAACAGCAGTAATGGGAGGAAGTGGATCAGGAGGACAGCTGGGTGTGATTGTGTGGTGGGATTAAAAAAAAAAGTAAAAAAAAGAGTAAAAAGAGACGAAAGGGTTGTTCCACTTTTATCTCCCAACAAAGACGCTACTGATGTATGAAAAACAGATGTCTGGCTGTTTTGAAAAGGAGATGAAGGAGAGAACATGGTGTGCATATGATGCCTGACCACATTAGTCCAATTCTATAATTGGGAGATTTTGGTGGATTTACTACAAGATGCATGGATGGTACTAATATAAACTGCATGTTAGAAACGTGACAGGAAGTGAGAGTGTATATACCGTGCCTCTAGCTGTTTGCTGTACCTTTTAGGGGTTAAAGTGTCTTGTTGTGTGTCTCCCTCTGCATACGTAGCCTCTGACGGCGCCGGCGAGGAGGTAATGTTGCATAGCTGTGTGTTGGATCACTCCCTCCATTAAATGAGATCATGGCCCACTTTGGCTGATCATATTGTGCATGTTTTCCAATATGAGGTCACTATTTTTGTGTGCTCCTTTGTTTTTCGTTGGCTTTCATTCCCCTTTTGTTCCTGACCTGTCTTATCTTTTGAGTTTCCTCAGTTTTCCCATTTTAAGTTGAGCTTGACCTCTGCTTGTCTGTGATTCCCCCTGCCCTCACCCCCACGCAGTCCCCCCAAGTCCCCTCAGGCGCCTCATCAATGCAAGGGGGCACTACCCCCCGCAAGCGGAAAGCTCCTCCACCGCCTCGCTCTCCTCTCCAGGTACTGTGAGAAACCTCTCAGTGGATGGAAAACACTATTTTTAACCACAAGTAGAGGCCGGCCGTACAGTATGGTTAGCGAATATATATACCGTATATCACTGACTCCCAACCTTTTAGAAGCAGTGGCTATTACTACCCCCAGTTGCATTGCAGTGGAGTGATTATTTGTTTTAGTTGAAATCGTTTTAGAAGAGAAAAGGTACAACCAAAATGAACAAAAAGATTTATCTCACATTTATCTTGCAACTCTCAGTTTTAAAATGGTTGATCTATAATGTACTGCGTGACAGCAAACAAGATACAAGGATGTTTAAGCTAATTTCATAATAATCCCTTTGGAAATATTGCTTCTCAAGAGATTAACTAAAGAGTATAATGCCTTTGATGATTATTCATTTTATTCTGTTTTCTCATCACAAAGATGCAGGGTTTGCCACCCTCTCCACAGCCCCGGAGTCCTGCTCCACCTGCAAAGTCCCCTGAGCCCCAGTCCCAGTCTTCTTCTCCCCAGCCTCCAGAAACACAGCAAGCAGCCCAGGTTAGCACTGTAAAATTAGATTTTTGTTTACTTGTTATTATTTGCTGTTTGTCCTTCATATTACATGAAATGCAGACCTTATTAATATCATATTTATACATACAAGGCAGAGGATGAGGAGGTGTTTGAGGAGATTCGACGGCTGCGTCTGGAGAGAGGCCGTTTGCTCCAGAAGATCAAAGCTTTGGAGCAGCAGCAGCAGAGCGCCCTCTCTGCTATGGAAGAGGTACTACGCTGCAAGCGGTGCAAACGCTCTTTCTTAATCACGCCTCTGCAAAATATGATTTTATGTAAACCTATACCTATTCTTTTGAGGTCTGTGTGCATGTACCTGTATCGGAGACAACAATGTGTTTGTGAAGACTGAGGGTTGCTTGTTATAACCACCATGTGTGTATGTGCACTGTAGGTTACCCAACTGAAGCAGCGTCTAGAAGAGGCAGAGACAGAAAGAGACAAGTTGCTTGAGGAGCTGAAGGGAGCCCATGGTATTGGGGCCAGTGACTCTGAGGACATGGATGAAATGTTTGACTTCCCAGGTATGCAATCTGTGTGAACATGTACCTCCCACACCCCGGCAGAGAGCATGCATGTACTTTATTATTGTACATTGCCTCTGTAAAGCACTTTGTGACTTTTATGTCTATGAAAAGCGCTATATAAAAAATATTTTACTTACTTACTTTACTTACTTCCATGCATGTGTCCTTGCTATTCCACATGGGCATTCCTGTGGGTCTATGCCATCAGGAAGTACACAGATTGATCTTTGTTGTGGTTGCTCTTTAACTTTCCCTCTAGAGAAGCTGCTCTCCAAGCGCTCCAGAGCCTCCCCTGCTCAGGATGAGGCCACTTCTCAAGCGGACACTGGCTCAGCCAACCCTTCTCCTGACCCTGCAGACCCAGGAACTCTTGCTGAGCTGCGCAAACAAATAGAGGAACTTACCTCACAAAACTCTGAATTAGCTCTCAAGGTGCAGGTAAGGTTATGGAGAGTACAAATGCACAAATACACACCTACTGCATGATCACACACAACAACTATGCACAGATACATGCACACAATGTCCCACATAAGAGCACACAATGTCCCACATAAGAGCACAAACATATAACACGCACACACACACACACACACACACACACACACACACACACACACACACACACACACACACACACAGTCCCAGGCCTCTTTAAGGAGGATAAATTCATAGTGATGTGATTATTAAATGGTTCTGAGGCAGGAGATGAAGATGCTGGTTGAAGAGTAGCTTAATGTGCCTGACTCAAGCATTAGTCATGACCACTTAAACTTTATGATGCAGCACTCTGGTACACTAATGCACTAAGTGTTCATACAGGTACAACTAGAGCAGCATCCGATGCAGACATGGGGGCATTTTGTAGACATTCTTCATTAGCTGCGTCATGCTGGTTAAAGCTGCGAAGTTGTAGTATTCTGTTCTGGTGTGGTTTGTTCAGCACTGTGTGAGAAGCAGCAACCTAGGCCAAGAACAGTGGGAAATCTAACTCAAAGCTCCTTCTGTGATTTATATGGTGAAGGGCAGACTGAGATTTCATAACTCATATTGAATTTAGTTAATTAAAAGGCAGATCCACCAGTTTTACACATAGGAGGAGCTTTGCCAAGTGATGGGATGATGTCATAAGGGTTACGTCTTTCATTTTTCCAATAAATTATACATTTATGGCAGAAACCCTTTGTTATGAACACAAGATACGGGAGTTTGGTGAAATGTTGTGCAGAGTGCAGAAACTGTATAATACTAAATTACTTGAGTACTCTCTTAAGTAATGAGTACCTCAACCACTTACAAGCTTTTCTTTTACCACCAGAAATGTTTAAAAGAAGTTTACTCTAAAGACATTACATGTACATTCTGTGCAATTTTAGCTTCCAGTACATAGCTTTGCATTGACTGATAAACTGTGCAAGGCATATTGTTGAAGGTGACAACCTCCCTAAGCTACAGTAATTTCCTCTGTGTTTTATACAGATGTTGGAGATGTTTGAGAAGGATGACACAGACATGCAGACCTCCAGCTCGGACTTTGTCCCCATCATTCAGTATGAGACCCTGAGGAAGGAGTTTGAAGTCCTTCAGGAGCGCCTCTCTCAGGCCCAGGCTTCAGACGAGGCCTCCAGCATGGCAGAGGAGCAGTAAGATTGACTGATTTATACATTCAAGCATATTTGTAACTAGCAAACTGAAGTAACCGTCACAGATCACATTCGTTTAAACTCTACTGTATTAGATCAGGCCTTTATTCTGAGATGTGCACACCTTGGGGCCTCTATCAGGGCCATTTTTGTTCTTAGCATTTACATGTTGTTGCTTATCTACTATACTGAGGTATGATAAAAATAAATGTGTATTTATCACTGGTTGTACACTGCAGTAATACAGTGTTAATGTGTTATATTATGTATGATGTTGTACTGAAATGATTAGTTGATTAATAGATTAATGGATAGCAAGCCATTTATCAAGCAAAAAAGCCCCAAAATGTTTTGGTTTTGCCTTCTGAAATGGGAGCATGTGTTTTGAGAATGTCACCATGAAAATCTTTTAGACTAAATCATAATCGATCAATCCAGGATATTATCCACATATTGATCAGGACTGGAAATATCTCGTGTGATGATTTTAATGTTTGAGTTTGAAATATTGATAATCTTTGTCTTCTTTCTTTGTTCTACAGTGGTGATGAAAAGTCTGTGGAGGCTCTGAGGGAGAAGCTGCAACGCATGGAGGAGCAGTTTGCCTCCTCCCAGTCTGAGCTGGAGGAGCTGAGGGAGCAGATGCGCCTTGGGGTGCTTTCTGTGGAGTGTGGTGAAGGGGATACTGCCACGGCAGGTGCTGGGGCTGCAGAGGAGGGTCCAAGCCAAGAGGCACAGCAGCTGAGAGCGAGGGTGACGGAGCTAGAGGAGGAGCTAGCAAAGAGACAGGGTGAGGCAGGGGGTCAGAGCAGCCAGGACAGTGACACAATCAAACAGCTGACAGAGCAAGTAGAGGAACTCCGTGCTGCTCTGGCACGAAAAGAGTCTACAAAACAAGAAGGGGAGAAAGACGGTGAAGAAGAAGAGACGGAAACAGTGAAGTGCCTCCGTAACAAAGTGGCTGAGTTACAGGCAGCCCTGGCAGAGAGCAGGACGTCGGGGAAAGAGGGAGGATCAGCAGGAGATGGAGATCAGGTCCGTCGTCTCCAGGAGCGTTTGGGAGAGCTAGAGGGGGAGCTGAGAAAGTGTGTGCCCCGCTCAGAGTTGGAGGAAGTGCAGGTGACTCTGGGGCTCCAGTGTGAGCAGCTGGCCAGGGAGAGGGCGGATGTGGCTAGAAGGCTCAACGATGCTCTCCTGGATCTGGAGAGACTCAGGCCTCCTCAACGCGGAGATGAGGAAGATGAGGAAGAAGAGGAGGAGCATTCAGAGAGCTCAGAGCCCTCAGGTGTGCAGTGTTGTTGTTTTTTTACTTTTAAGATTTTATGTTCCAGAGAAAAAAAGTTAAAATGACTGACTTTTCTGTCCATTTTGTGAACGATCATGTCCAATCAGAGCACTCCAGACGCTCCCTGGCAGCCGTGAGAGAAGAATTGGAGGTGGCGAGGCAGGAAGCAGCCCAGGCTCTGGACTGTCTGTGTGCTGAGCGGGAGGGCAGGGCACAGGACGCCCTACAGCTGAAAGACGCAGTACCACTCTCAAAACATAAGGAGGCTCTGTCTGCAGTATCAGAACAGCTAGCTCAGACCCTGCAGGAGCTCCAGGAGGAGAAGACCCTTCGTGGTCAGGCTGAGGAGCAGGCTGCCAAACTAGAGGGCCAACTACAGGCCATGCAGGATGCCATACCCAAAGAGGAGCATGAGAAAGTGAAGGTCAGCTGTATTTAAGAGCAAAATTAGAAATAAGGGTGGGGTACAAACTCAGACAAAGGACATGGTTGTTATTAAAAGATGAAATGTTACTACTTCTTCAAGCATTTCTCATTGTACTATATGCTCTTGCTTCATTAATAAAATTATCCAGAGGAGGCAGAGTCATCCCAGATTCTTGACCCTGAAATGGCTGACCCTTAGTTGAGATTTCTCCGAGTATAACTTGTCCACTATTTGTAAAAGGCTTTTTTGAAAGGGAAACACAATTTAAAGCAGCTAGTATTGTTTGTATTATTTGTTTGTAGCATCTAATTTTAGGTGTTTCCAGTGGGTTGTCTAGTTTAAATTAACAGGGGAGTACAACATTAATTGTTTATCATGATTCAATGTCTAATGTTTACAGTTACTAGGTAGGACTAAAATAAATTATAATCCGGACAGGGTTAAAAGCATAAAATAACAGATCAGCACAGTTTTCAGCTTTGTGATAATGCATATTTCTGATAATCCAGTGGGTTGTTACAGGATTTATTTAACTTCAGACGGAGGAGAATGTTGTCAACCCTAGTCATGTACCCTGTGTGTCAATAACAGGTGTTTAAAACAACATTTCAGTGTTTCTTAAGAGTACATTCTGCTAATAAGTTTGTCATAACTGTTATTATATCAAGTAATCCTTGTGCTTCCTGCATTCTAGGCAGAGCTCCAGCGCTCCCTGCAGGCCAGTGAGAGCAGTGCAGCAGCAGCTCAGGAGGCTCTGAGTGAGAAGGAGATGGAGCTGAGAGAGCTGAAGTCCCAGAAGGCTGCAGAACAGGGTCTAATCTCCAAGGAGGATCATGAGGCCCTGCGACTCTCTCTGCAGGCTGAGATCAACGCCGCCACAGCCCGATTCAACGATCTCACTCGCAAACATGAGAAGACCTGCACTGAGGTGTGTTCGCATGACGTGGTGTGTCATTGTGTCTGCCTTCTCCAGTCCCTTCTTATGCCATCTAAAGCCACATTAGATGTTATTGTGTTTGCCACAAAGTGAGCTGTGTTCCATGAAGGCCTCTTTCCTCCCTCTACATTATTCATATGTGTATTACTTTCTCTATTCAGTGCCTCCCTGTTTCATTGATCCCTCTGTATATTTGCTTACTGATGCACTGAAGTAGCCTTGTATGTGCACTATAGGCTCATGGTGAAACTCCACAAGTAATTTCCCCTCCATCTTTGTAGTGACATTCAGATATAAAAAAGTCTCACTTTGTGAGGTAATTGCCTCTCTGACTCAGGTTGGCGGACATAGATTGATAAGAGGGCACATTTTCTTAAGAAGGGCTTTTGGAACCCAAATCCAAGTGTTTGTGATATACTAGCATGTAAATTTGTGCTGGTAATGTTATGAAGTGCCTGGAATTTCCCTGGAACAAAAACATAGTTGAACATGGTACCAAAAGCAAATGCATATAGATTTACTGTAGCTTAATTTACTGCATTTGTTTGCACTCTTGGTTGGGTATATGAAGATCAAAGGGAAACTGGAAATTCCCTTGAGCAAAAACTCAGAGGTTCGGACTCAGTGGTTTTGGGAATAGATATTTGAGAATTGCTGAGAAAATTAAAATGGGAATTAAAATGATTATATTATGTTCATCCACCAAATCAGGAAACAAGACAAAGTATAGCCTGAGATTTTACTATGTAAAGGTTAAAGGCAAGTAAACAGCAAAGTAGTGGAGAAGCTTTTCTACAAGGGAACATGTGTTTGATCTGCAAGCATGCATTTCTGTCTGTATTACCCTGTCTGTGTTCTGCTGCCACTTCTATATAAGCAAAAAGCATCTGAATTGGAGACATGACCAAACATAGACACCCTTGCTGTAGTGACAGGGTGCCACTGGTGGTTTTACTGGTCTAGGTGTTCCAGGTGCAGAGGGAGGCTCTCTTTAACAAGAGTGAGCGGCAGGTTGCGGAGTCCCAACTGGCCACAGTGCAGCAGCAGCTAGCCGAGTTACAGTCCCAATCCAACCACATCCAGGAGCTCCACAAGGACATCCAAGAATCCCAGGGCCTGGTCAAGGAGAAGGACCGCAAGGTGACATTTTGGAGAGCCAGTTAATACAAGTGCTGTTGAAGCACCCATGAGGTGGCCAAACTGACTGTTTCTGTCTTTCGCGCAGATAACAGAGCTGTCCAAGGAGGTGTTTCGGCTAAAGGAGGCCCTGGGAGCTCTGTCACCTCCTCTGGGCATCACCTCCTCATCGTCCTCCTCATCTATCCATCATGGTAACCCTGGGCAGCAAATGGCACTGCAGAACAGGATCGCCATACTCACCCAGCAGCTGCAGGTGAGGAGAACATTGACACCAAGGATGTGTGGTGTTAGAAAAGATATTGTGATTTCCAAAAATCTTTTTTCTTTAGCAATATCTCTGAACATCTGTAAAAAAAAATTACTCTTAAATATTCACATGACAGTAACATCTTCTGTGGTCTTGTTGCAGGATTGGGAGAGAAAGCACAAACAGGTGGTGGCTATATACCGTTCCCATTTACTGGCAGCTGTCCAGGTCAGTTGAATGCCAGAGTGCAAATTAAGACTTAAATCTTTGTTATGAGATGTAATGAGTTCATTTTATTTAGGATTTCCATGTGTGTATGTGTGCACTTGATCCTACGGTCTTGTCTATTTCCTGTCTCAGGGTGGATCAGAGACATTTTCTATGTTTGACTAGCTGAACAGTCACACAGAGCCTGCACCGTGAATAGAACTGACTCACTGCTGGATTTGAGTTTGTCCCCCTTTGTGGTGCAGACAATAAAGAGCAGGACTAATCTGTCCACCATCTCTGTTTACCAGACAAACTGGATGAAATTTCAGAAGCGCTGCAGGGAAAAGGGGCTCACTTTCTGGTTCTATCAGTTTCATCATATTCCACTTCTTTTTGTAATGTTGGTTGTAATGAGACATTGTTCGGGTATTGGTGACCTTTAGGAGAACTTTGGCAGGTAAAGGTTTTCATTGCAGTTATTTCCAGACCAGACATGCGGCCCTCATCTGATGTTAACACCTGTACATGTTTTGTGCTTTAATCTTCCAAGCTTCTCTCTGATTTGGGGCATGGTTGAGTATTGAGCAGTCTATCTAGTGAGGTTCATCTCTCTTCTAGTAAATTTTTCACTCACTTTGCATTGCCCCCTCTTGATGGAGGTCAGAGACAGAGTTCTTTCTGTCCTTGGCCAAATCTGCAGATTTCAGTCTGCCTTTCTACAAGGATGACCATTATAGGGGGTCTGCCTGTGGAACAAATGTGAAGTACAATGTAGAACTTTAATTTTTTTACTTTGGTGTTTGCTGCCCAACAGGGCCGAATGGATGAAGAAGTACAGGGACTGTTACTCCAAATCCTGAGGATGTCACAGCAGGGACACTGAACCATCTGCAAGCCTCTTTACACCTCCAGTCCCTTTACAGGTCAGCATATAACAGCTCCAGCATAGCAACCTGTGGGACCAGCATTGTTGAGACCTTGTCTAGAAAGCCAAATACATCTGTTCAGACATACAGTAGCTGCATGTGTTCAATACAGTAAACTTAAACAACAGCCTTAAGGCTTTACTGATAATCAAACAGGGAGAACATAGAATTGTAGAGTGCCTTCATGGCTGGATAACTGAAATGACAGCAGCCTATAAGTCAGGGGTTTATGGTAGCAGAAATTGAGTCTGAATAGAGAGTCGTTATTTAGAAGATAGAATCAAGTGCATTGATTGTGTGACAAGCCTATTGATTTTATATTATATTGTTATAATAAAAATGAGAAACAAATGTCTCGTCTGTTGTTCCTGTTCTTTGTACACCGATACTGTAGATTGAACCAACCACAGCTTCCACACTGTCCCTCACATCTATTTTTGGTCGATGGAAATCTGAAGTCTTAATTTGGCTGAAGCATGTGTGCACGGAAAATTGGACAGCTGGGTTTAACTGTGGTACTGCTACATTAGACTCACAAATGACAAAATACCATCTGAATTGTACCCTTTTTTCCAGATAGTTTTATTGACAAACGGCATTAAAGTCAATTAAAGAGAAAAAAGATCCAAGAAATTCCTGAGAAAGCAAAAAGGAGATCTGAAATAATTACATTAATCATTTGGACCTCACCAAACGCCTTGTAGCTCACCGTATCTCTCTGTGAATTCATGAGGCTACAGCTAAGGACAGGGGAGGGCCTGTTTAAAGATATGTTGCTAATGAGACAAATGCAAAAAGCATATGACTTACCTCTAGCAAGATTTCAAAGAATTAGGTAGAAAACTGCAGCCAGGGAGCAGAAATACATGAGTAAGTCACTGACATGTAAAGACTCAGACGTGGGATAAGGACAATCTATAAAGTGATGTATTCCCCTGAACTTGGACAAATAAAGGATTTAATTTCAAGTCAAAATCCCCTGTCTTTAACATCAATCACTGTAGACTAGTGCTATCTATGGCTTGCCACTAAGAACAAAAAGATTCACTGAGGGGATTGTTGTGAGGGACGCACATAAAGACAATGACAGCCATGACACATTAAGACAGTATTAGAAGTATAACAAGAGCAGCTTACGTGACTGTTCACAAGAATAAGAGCTTAATCATCCTGAAGTTTGTTCAGTCATTTGTTGGCATGGCAAGAAAACTAATGTTTCGCGTTAGGAGCATAAATGCATTATACATTATATACACTCTGACACAAATGCCTGTCTCTGTAGTTATTAAGGCACTGAAGTTGTGGAAAAACAGGCGTGGATATACTGAGTTTGTATGCAGAGTAGTTTTAACCGAGGACATAGTATTGATTTGAGTACAGTCTGGCCAATAATGTTCACAGGCTTATACAACACAAACAGTATGTCTTTAACAAATTATGAACAGCCCTTACAAACACAAGACAAATGACTGATATTAATGGTAAATGTGATCAAACTACCCATTTTCAAGACAATGTAACATATGTCCACTTGGCTGTCTATATGAAGAAAGTATGAATGCATGATTTTTTCAAGACCTTGATTATCATGGAGAAACAAAAAAAAAAAAGGGCAGAAGAATGTGTGGCTGTTTTATAAATCCAGCACTGAATCATGTCCAGTGTGTTTCCATTGTGCCAAATCAGAGTCAGGTACTGCAGACCTGTCAACATGTAGCAACAAACAAAACAGTCTTTACATTCCCATGAAACAGACATTTCTTCACTTGTCTTTTATAGTCACAGTATTTTCATTTCTGCCATTTAAACAGAAATGAGCTACTGAATAACCTGACATCTTTTGATTTTTAAATACAGTATCTGTACCAGATAATAAGACAGTTTTGTTCTGGCGATGTCCATTATTGTTCGGTGGACGGCCTGTAGACAGACAGGTCGGGAAGCCGTGGTCTACTGGAAGCACTTCACTATTACAGGCATTGTCGGACGTTACATCTCTGTGCATCAAATCCTTATTTGATTTCCTGAAGTTGGGTCCTCTTCAAACAGTCGTTGCTTTAATTATTGACATCAGTTGACAATCCTGCTCTGAAATGAGTCAAACTGTGGATTCTGGTTGGTTTGTTAGCTTATAATATCTGCATGGTGAGGAGTTTGTGACAGATGAGAGATAGTTTAGTTGATCCTGGTAGGCAGGAGGCAGAGAAAGTACAGGGATGTCAGATGCCTCACTCTCCTTAGTAAAATTGTTTATGGAAAAAAAAGTATTAGTGATATCTTTTATTCCAGATAAATATCCATCTGGGATAGAGGATTTCCATATTGTTTTTTTCAGTGGTTTTTGCATGGGAGTGCAGGAATTCAGCTGTGAAGTATAGTAGACAAAGAAGGCACAGATTACAGGTCAATACAGTCATTATTTAGGCTTCTAGATACAATAGTCAGATGCCTGCCACTAGATAATCTGTCAGTTTATTGCATGCAGAAATGTAATGCTGACATTCACTATAGTTCATAAAGAAGTGTAAAAAGTTCACCCACACAAGGTGAACAACAACCAGTTATATTTTCTTTAAAACATGCACATTTGATGGGACCTACACCAATCTAACTCTTGTTAACATATGGTATTTTAAAATGCAAATTAAGGTTTACCATCCACTGCATCCTCCCTGATATACTTTTTAATCATTCAATCATTTTAGACATCCCACACATACGTAGTATACTGCACACTTACCGTCCCATGCAGGGTCAAGTGGCTCACTGTTTCCTCCTGACCACCTGTTTGAGGTGGAGCTCACTCTCTGCTGCCACAATAGGCAGCTCATTCTTCAGGTGGTATGAAATAAGGTGGCTAATGCTCTCAAATAACATGTCTTTGGTTCGGACCTGTGTGGAGGACAAAAGATGGTTTCAGTTCAGATCAGTTGGTTTTTATATGAGACTAATATGAACTTTGACAACTGGCAAACATATCTAAGCTGTTGCTTGTTTGCTGCATTACTCACCACCCCCTCTGGGTCCACCAGCAGTAGGTGTTTGGGAAGGCCACAGTGCATGCCAGTTAGCACATACTGTCCTGGGTTGGTAGTGCTCTCCCGGACCAGGAAATCTCCATCTCGGACCAGTAGTCTCTCTGCGTCCCGTCTGCTCATGCGGCTGTGGTACCACGTCTCCCTGCGGAGCTGCTCCTCATTTGGGGCCACTGGAGCTCGACGGCGTGGAGGGCTGGGCCACTGGTCCTCCAGAACCCGGACACCTCCAGCTGCAGCAGACATACTGGAAACAACAGCTCCACCACAGGCCTCGTGGAGCTTTAGGGCGTCCTCGAAAGGCCCTACAGGGATGTGATGTTTCACAGTTACAAGTGTGGTGACTACAGTATTTTTCAAATAAAAGAAGTGAGTTCATCTTTGCTGTGTCATAATGTGTCACACCAACTCTCTGGACTTACTCATGTCAAAGAGGTCCTTTTTGGGACTGTCGGGTGCCCTGGCCCCTCTGTGTCCTTCGGGCCCCCGTGAATCCAGGTTTTCCAGAGTCTGGGTGTTAACGTACTGATGCTCCTCATAATCTCTGCTGCCTGGTGGCTGTCCATCAGCACACAGGTAGCCATCTGATGTCAGACCTGAGAAACACATGTGCTCTTAGAACATTTCAGACTCCCGTCTGGACATACGGATATCTTTGTGTGTGTGTCATTAACAAATTTAGGTTCTTATGGCCCCCTCTAGTGGTTGAAATCACAACTTGAATCATATGAATAATAATGAATAATGATCTTGAAAGGGGTCCAAACGCTGTTTGTGCCAGAAAGTAAGTAAGGGCACAGAATTCAGTGATGACCTGACTACCTCAATAGGTCACCAAACGATAAACAAACCACAAACCACCCAAAAACCTTCAGTTTATTCTCTTAAGCATACTAAATGACAAAGCTTGTATCAACTAAAAGCTGGTGAGCATGTTTTTTCCCCCTAGATGTTATACCTACGTACCACCACAGGGTGTCTCACCTGAGCTGCTGGTCGTCTCAGTGTCCCAGTGAAGTTCATAGCACAGCTGACCAGGGGGATAAGACGCTTGCTCCCTCCTTGCTGGAGAGCCCATCTGCAAACCCACATACACACCAGAAGAACACATCCTAAATACATTTGTGTCTCCATACCTGAATTGACATCTCCCTCATGTCTTGTCCCTACATAATGTAGTTTTGAAGCACTCTATTTGAAACATTAGCTACAGTATGTCACCATATTTTGAACAAGCTGCAGAGAGAGAGAGAGCGATGATTTCTCTCACCCGGAGGGGCCAAGGCTCTTTATCTAATCATATCTATCTTTGGCAATTTAGTGCAGGCACATCAGGAAGAGAGTTCTGGAGTATATTTCCGTGCTCCTACTGTTTAATTCCATGTAAACAATACAGGGAAGAAGCAGGAAAACATATCAATCACCAGTTTATGAGTGAGGTATCAAAGTGTTTAGCTTGAGTCTGGCTGTCATTGTCTGATAAAGGTTAATCATGCATTTCTTGATGATGAGCAGATGTAGCTTCGATTACATCCGTGATAACATCAGATGGTGAGGTTGCATCTCACGCTTACATGTTTGGCAGTGTTGGCAAAGTCAGTGGTGATTAGTGTAAAGGAAAAGAACTATGCCGCACAGCACACCAGAATCATCTAGAATCTGACCTTTCTGAAATCATGGCTGGAGATTCACCTGTGCTGCTGTCTTGCTCTGTGGTTGGGTGTGAATGTGGCCCAGCAGGGCTCCACTGGGCCTGAGCCTGGAGTCCACAACTCCCCCAACAGGAGGCTCCTTCCCCGGGATGCTGTTGTAGTAATCATGCTCAGCGAAGTCCTCATCTTCCCCCCACATCGGCTCTTCTGTCCTCACAGACCTGAAGAAGGACATACCTTACGTGCATAAGTGAAAAGATATATTTTATTCAGGTCCAACACCTAGAGCTAAATGTCTGAATAAATAAAGTGAAAACTTCTACAATCTAGACAACAATGATGTTGTTGTTTTTTTTATCACTTTTAATAGTGATCATAATGATAATGTTCTCAAATTTATTCAGTCCGATCAGATGACATATCCACATCCGAAAGTGATCTATATGAATCTGCTAGAGATTTATGGGTGAGAAGATCTGTGAGGATCAATATTATAAGATGGATTCTGAGGTAATACAAGAACAAACTATCACATCTCCTTGTAATAAATAACAAAGAAATCTGAGAGTTGTACAGTGGATCAGGTTTTTGTGGTGGAAAAGGCAACTAAGCTCTTTTATGCAGGATGTCTGTATTTATGTCAACGTAAGTATGATTGATAAGTAAACAATAATCACCTTCACTTCCTCTGAGTGTCAGTCTCCCTAAAATAACAATCGAGTTTTCATTTACATTTGTTGGAAGTGTCAACAAGTTTAAAGCTTTAATGTATACAAAAGTTGTATTGATGTTTACATTCACTAATTTATATTAGCAGCATTATAGTATTTTTCAGAATTTTGTGATAGGGAGACACTTTATCAAGTTATTTCTTAGCACCCGCTCCACAGATGCCACAGATTTGGAGCTCAGTAACAAAAACTCTTAAAAGGGTATTCATCTTTTCATAGAACACAATTTGACATGTTACCTCTCCATAGACGCCATGGTTTTGGGAGGACTATGTAGATACTGTTTGAACTGCAGCTCGAAGGCTTGGCCGATGGTGCTGATGACACCCTGGGCTAAACCATCTGAGCACTCCAGGATGTGACATGCTGAAGGAGACAAGAAAAAGAAGACATTTATTTTTTACCACCTGCCACATACTTTTAAAACTAACATCATGGCTCAGTATTAATGCCACTCTTTTAAGCATTTCTTTCCAAAACACTATGGTGCTTTAGATATTTCTTTCTTTTTAATGGGGCTGATATCCTGCTATAAATAGATGTCATTGTAAGGTCTACTTTTAAAAAATAAAGAACAAATAATTTTGTTTTCAAAAGATCGATGGGCTATAATGTAGCCTAAAATGTTTAAGATACAATCCAGTATATAAACCAGGCAGTGAACCTGAAGGAGAAGCTTTTCAGGACATACCTCTCTGATTCACTGGGTCTTTGGCTACATACGCAACATAATCAGGCGTGTCCTGCAGCAGACAGAAGGAAAAATTCAATTAGACCACATAAATTAGACCTATATAACTAAATTAAAGCTCTCATTGATTATTTGGTCATGAGATTGGAAACCAGTAAAATGGAGTCCAGTCAGATATGTGCAGTCTGCCAAAATGTCCATTCCAACAACAACATAAAGGAGAGGGGGAGAGTTAAACAAACACTGCACTCACTGTGTCTCCCCCAGAGGCAAATGAGATAGACTGCATGGGATGGTGTGCTATCACCTGAAAGAGACAAGAGGATGAAACACTCCGAGGTTTGCCAATATTCTACTTTCATCATTGATTCATGTAGATATAAACACAAATGGACACGAAGACTAGAGATGCCAAAATACAAAAGAACTCTGACGTACAGAGCAGGGTTTAAAAGATACAGGCTTTGAAGTGATATCAGTACACGTTGACTAAAGTGGAGAGCGGTTAAAGTTCAGTGTAATTATGTTTTCCCGCATTTGTCTTTACAAGAAGGCGGAAATACTTCTGAATATCATTTAAACCACTGTGGATCACCACACCAAATGAGATTATCAGAAAAATTAGGGATTGATTGCAAGAGGAGAAATTATTATATTCATTATTATATTTGAATAAATATTTCATAAAGAAAATGATAGTTCATCACATTTTGAATACTGTTTAATTTGTTTGAGGGAGGAACCTTCTTTATATCAGTTGATAATAACATTTAATGAAATACTATTTGGTAAAATATATCAGTTTAATCCTTGTACAGATGAATTTATGGTGGTTTAGCATCATACCTGTCGTGTGGTAGGGATAAGCAGACCAAGGCCATCTATGGAAATATTGACTGCAATACTCATGCCTGCAAATCGCAAGTTACTGTTCCCCATAATGGAGTGGAGAGCTTTGTTCAGGGCCTATATGGAAATGGAAAGAAAAAAATACAGTGGAAATTACATATATATATAATACTTATAATCACATATATCCAGAAACAGAAATGTTATCCTGTATTTACTGTATTTGATATGAGAGACAAAATATTCAGAGTGCATTCCACGAGACGTCATGTGTACCAAAGTGAGTGTCACACTGACACAACCTCTGTGCTCATCTGTGTGGTAAATATAGTTCTCCAGTTTAGTATTTAGTAACAACAGTACATTGAGACATGCACAGTAAGATTAAAGTTTGTATTAACCTTCTTCCTCCAAGCTCCCCTTCCGCCTGGCACTGCTTCACACAGCCTGTTGATGGCTTCCCTAATTAGGGGCATGAAGAAAGGTCAAAGGTCAGACTATAGTGGACACTGTCATCTGTCGCTCCTATTTGTGTAAATGCTTTGCTGCTACTTCTGTGTTTGTGTGGCCTGTCTTCTTTCCAGATCTCCATGCTGGAGAGGAGGTAGTGTGGCTCAGGTCCTACCTGCTCAACATCCTCCTGGATCCGAACTCTTCGTGTATATCTCTATTTTGTCCTAATAATTTGTATAATGATTTTTTGCTGAAACTATTCAGTACACTATTGCATGTCTGTCCATCTTGGGAGACGGCTCCCTTTGTGGTTCTCTTCTTGAGGTTTCTTCCTTTTGTCCCTGTTTTTTTTTGGGGGGTGGGGTGGGGTGTTTCTTAACCAAATGAAGGGTCTTAGAGGATGTTGTATTCTTTAAAGATTGTAAAGCCCCTTGAAGCAATTGCGATTTGTGATTCTGGGCTATAAATAAACTTGACTTGACACACTGGCCACTGTTTGAAATGGCTACAAGGACACATTCAATATCTAAAAATTATGTGGATTCCTGTTTACTGTGCACCCAAATATTAAAGTACCCCTACACTCAAAAATATATTTTTCTTCTTGTTCCTAAAGTTGGATGTTTGATCTTCAATGTGCAGGATGATGTATGTGCAGAGTCTGACACTAGAAGCATGTTTCCACATTCATCTGCTGAAAGTGGAAAGTTTCTCTGTGCTCATTGAAAATCAGATTTTAAGGGGCGGGGCCTACAAGCCTGAATTGTTACATCACAAATAGTGTGTGAGTCAGTCCTGTTCCAGTATGTAACTTATATGAGTGTGATGCAGAAACTTGAAGCCACCAGTGCACATACTGTACACTGAAAATTAACTTTACAGGGAGGTAGGAGACATCTTGTGTCCAGCAGGAAAATCTGACACTTAAAAATTAACAAAATTAGCGTATTCATAGATTCTGGAATTGAATGAAGCAGAGGGAGTGGATGCTATTTTAAGAACTTTCTGTTCCAACCAGAGTATGTCTTTACATGTCTGGAGGGAATCGTTACCGGTCCAGTGACAACAATTTAGGATGTATAACTGAGATTAAAAGTTTGAAATGTTAAACTGTTGTTCAAGGTTAGAAAAGACTGCTGAATCACCATGATGGAAAAAACGGAGGTTAAACATGAACAGAAGCTTTATGTTCCCTCCCTCAGGCTGAAGTCATAGGTCACAGACCCGACACAGTTCACAGGTCAAGAAAAGGTTTTCAGCAGGTCTGTTCACAAGTACTAATCTAGTTTCTTGCCACTGATGTTCAAGGACTTTACAAAGAATACACTCAGTCATCAGCGGTTTTGTTTATCAAACTCATATTTAACTCCCTGCTGAATTAGGGAGGAAGAAACACTATATTTTGAGCCAAAACAACGTGTCATGGGTCTGTGCAGTTCCACATCTTCTGCTGGTTCTTTAGGGCATCATTATTCACATTTATTTTCTATAAGGCAATTCTCTCTGCAGATTTGTTACCACTTTGCAGTAAAGCTGCCATAACTCCTGGGAACAGCTGCCTAATGGGCGTTTAAAGCTTCTGTCCCCTGTGTGTCTGATGGCGGGAGTGAGGCATAATGTGGATTTCAGGTTGCAGCTCGCGCTCTCACTGCCAGGGGACAGCGGGGACAGCAGTCAAGAACCCAGCTGCCCCTATCAAGTGGCTCGTAAATATTTAAAAAGCAGCGTCCCGGGCCCCATCTCGAGTAAAGGTCTTCTCAGGGATTTTTGAAAAAACACCACAATGTTTGAATGACTCATGCTGATGAGAGGGCAGAGGGAGGAGGAGGAGGAGGAGGAGGAAGATAGATGGGCTGTTGTTGTTGTTTTTGTCTGCAGCCTTGGTATCTTTCCTGCAATAAAATGCTGGGCCTCATTATCACTGGTGTTGCTGTTTAACACCGTGACACAGGGAGTACTGTTAGGAGAATGAGCCTTCTTCAAATCTAGGAGCTGAAGTACATTTTTGAAATTCTGACAAGCACTGGATGTTTTGTTGTGGTTTTCCAGGACTAAATTGAGTTGTGTACAAGTCAGCAAGCTGAAAAAAAGGCCAGCTATGGATGCATAATAAAGGCTCTGACTTTAGTATGCTGCTTTTGAAATCCATCCAGCAACAATTAACATACAGAGAAATATCCTGTAAAGTTGCTTAGATTAATTGTCATAGATTTTTGGCCTTATGGGACAGATGGCCCGTCCCATATTCCTCAAGAAATCAAAAACCCCTGTGTCGTTAGCATCAGTGGAAAATTTGGATTCAACTAAGGGCAAGCACACTGAAAAGTGACTATATAGTCAACAAAACATCATCAACGCACTACTACTACAAGATAACCTGATGTAGTCAGCTCATGCTCTGTATAGTTTCTCCCTTTGCTAATGTTTTGTTTTGCTGTTTTGTTTTGAACCCCCCCCCCCAACAAGTTACAACCGCAGACATTATCCAGCAGGGTGCGTTCATGGGGACCACTGCAGCTTTCCACAGTCATTAGCAAACATCATCAATAATAGATCTGCCTCTCTATCACTCCATCTCTGCTGCTGCCTCCCCCTGCACTTAAGCCTTGGATGCACGGTGGGCTCCGATTACTGCCCATCGATTGTGGAGGAGAGAGAGGAGGGTGAGAGACAAGGAGGGAGTGGGGAGAGTGCACTTCCCCCATGAGGCCGAGGATTGCAAAGAACCCTGCATTTATAACAATAACATCACATGTAGGGTATAAAAACACACCGACACGGACGTACTAAGACCCTGAGGTATAGTTTCATACATAAACATATCATGACCTGTGATTCTACTGAGCACGTGTACAGTAGTTTTGTTTGTCTCTTAACTGGGACACACAGCACTTTAATGCTGCCATTGTGCAAAACCTTGTGACTTTAGTTTTGATTCACATTTTTTGAGCCTTGTTTGGAGAAATGAACTATAATTTCAAAATTGTGTTGCTGTCAATGAAACAAGAATGTGTCTCTACATTTCCCTAAACCATATTCCTTTATCTTCTTTAGAAAATCTAACCACTCGTACTCTAAGTAATAGCCCACAATTGACACACCACTGCTAATTTGATTTCATCGTGATTGATTCTTCAGTTAATCCTATACATCTTGAATCAAATTCTCCTGACTCACCACCACTACCACTAGAGATGGTTACCAGCTTACCTTGTCACCTGAGTCCGCGTGTTGAAGTCCAGGGAGCGCATTGACTTCAGTACTTCAATGCAGCCCATGTACTGCAAAAAGAGTCAACCCAAACAGTAAAATTAAAACAAATTTTTAAATGTGGATGTGGACAGTTTTGGTCATGATTAGATGCCCCTAATATGAACTTGTCACATGAAGTGTTGTAATAGCAGTGGGATGTAGGATTAAAAAATAAATGCTACAATAATAAAAGTGACCAGCTTCTGGAGGACATTAACTTACATAATAATAATAACAATAATGATAATAATGTTTTAAATGTCAATGATAATTATGCATAGCAAATGTTACATTTGGCATTTTAGTATGTCAGGGTCATTGCAATCATCTAAAAAGAACATTTCCAGAGTATAGTAGAGTATACAGTAATGTGTAATCCTCTATTGTTCAGCATGACAATGTCCAACAATGCATCATAATCTAACTCAAATCCACATAAAGGCCATTAAAGTGTTCTCCAGTGGGTAGCAGCCAGCTGAGCAGCGTCTTAATGGCTGTCAGGTTGAGGTGCTAATGGCACCTTGACTAGATTAGCAGCACTAAGAGCTCCAAATCATGGACAAACTGCAGCGCCTTAGGCCTCCAGGGGATGGTAAGGGCTTGAGTGTGTTTGTGTATACAATAAGTGTATGGGAGGATGCCCGGTACTTATTTGCATAACTGTGAGGTTTACGTGAAAATATGAAGTGGTGAGTGAAATCTATGACATCACATTTCTGTAAATACCTGTGCAGTACATCCATATAATGAACATCTTTCCAGGAGCAACTGATGAAAACTGACCTTCCCACTATGGTACATTAACAGCATTCATTTAAATAAACCAATAAATAAACCCATATAAGTAAAAGGAGTCACACTGTGACCACCGACTGTAGCATTAGTGACTCTCTTCTAGTGAAACTCTTAAGCAATATATGAGCTTGTGTAATTCATGAACTCTTGCATCCTCTCCCTCTCCTACAGCACTTTGTATCAGTCAATGTCAAATTTAGTACAGTTTCCAGGATTGTTAGTGACTGCAACAGACAGCAGACAAACAGCATGGCAGCCGTGCAAACAAATGCGAGAGAGAGAGAGAGAGAGAGAGAGAGAGGGAGGGAGGGAGGGAGAGAGAGAGAGAGAGAGAGAGAGAGAAAGGGAGGGAGGGAGGGAGAGAGAGAGAGAGAGAGAGAGAGAGAGAGAGAGAGAGAGAGAGAGAGAGAGAGAGTAACCTTTGAGCCTGAGAGCTTAATGAGCTTTCTAACCAGATTTGGAGACGAGGGGAAGTCTTCCATCAGGAAAATTGTCTCTCTTTTTTCTTCCCCGCTATCTGCCAATGCCTCCATTGTCACACACTCATCTGCTGATACAACGCATCCCCTCTTCTATCACCCTATCTGCACTCCTATCCTTCTGGCCAACTCTCCAACACAGACTGTTCCTAGGACTTCAGGGACACTGACTTTCCAAGAAGCATTCCTTAGAAATTGAATAACCCCGGCCGCAACGCTCAAACTTTGTTGCATCGTAGCTTTGAGATCATAGCTGTTTCATAGTTTATCAATGTAAAAAATGTCCTTAGTCTAGTTCATCATCTAATATCTTCTCATTTTACCACTAAGGCAAGGCAAGATCAAGAATATCTTTTGTTGTGTAAGGAGGGATGGACAGATGACGGACAGATACTGACGACAACTGGATGTTACCAAACAGTATCTGGATCATGTAGATAGTGAATGATTACATTCAGTGCAAAGTAGGCGAAAGTAGTACATTTTTCAAGTTGTGGACAACAAAAGTTCCTTCTCATCTCTAACTTTTGTACACTTTTCAAAGCAGAGTTTAGACCACAAAATGTACTCACATCACCATGGAAGGACTTTTCAGGAAACTGCACCAACAGTAACAAAAAAATACATTACAGATATTAATTAATTAAAGAGGGGAATACTGTGCACCAGCTTGTAAGGGGACAGCACAAAATGATAGCAGTCTGGTTTTAATATAGCTCTCTAAAAGATAGCTGCTTTGGCAGCTGCAGTGCTTTGTTTGATGGTTGCTGCAGTGTCCTGGCTGTCAGAGATGGCAGATGCAGGCCAGACACAGCCTGACAAAGAGAAAATGTAAAGAAGGTAACAAATACTAAGAAACATTTTGTGTCTCTCTCAGCAGAGGTGTGACTGTGTGTGAGTGAGAGAGAGGGAAAGGGAGAGGGGGGGGGGAGGCACTGAAACAGAAATAGAGGGAGAGTGAGCTATGGGCTATGGTAGCTATGCTGATTAAAAATGGCACAGCGCAGCAGAAATCTACTGTCACTTTGACACTAATACATGCAGCAAGTACTCCTCCCTGCATAGATTTACCACCGAACTGCACGTATAGTACTGCTTTCACTGCCGTGAAATGCATTTCAAGCATTAGCTTACACAGGTTATCTAAAATGATTGCAGTATACCTTCAGATGTAAAAGCATGGCCTGATAATTAACTGAGATATCAATCACATATTAGAGCAGCACATGTTATGAATCTAGGAGACCCCTCCCATACTGATCCAACCGTCCTCTTCCACATCACATGATGCAAATGACTGTGATTAAATGTAATTGAATATAGGAATGAATGGTGCCTGTATAATGCCATTAGAAAGTGTGCTTGGGGCCCAGACTGGGCTAATCAAGAGCCATGTCATTAGTTTGAGGAGAAGAGGGGGAAGAGCAGTGCAAGAGGGGTGGAGGTGAACAGGCATGGGGGACCACTGAGGAGATCATTGACACTGACGTCAAGCAGTCTGCTCAGGATGGTAACCCTTTGTAAACACACTGATAAAGATATCTCTTCATGAGACAAAATTGCCTTTTTTATTTATCACTCGTATCTCTCTGGTGAGACAAGCAATCACCCTCTTTCTATTTAGCCTAATCTTATTTTTAATAAAGAGTTTGTTTACTATTTGTCATTCAAGCATACTATAATGTTACTAGCTTTAATACAGGCTAGGTTCACTATGCTGGGGGACTGTAAATCACATTTTATGGATAAAGTCTTTGCACATATGAATGTAAACAATCCTGAAACCACACAAAGAACACCACTCCCACAAGCACACAGTGGGAGCTCACAGACAACCATAGGTTACATGCGCTATAAATATGGTTATATAGTAATAGTATATGACGCATACAACCTAAAGTAAACAATGCAACAACATAATGATCCTGACTACAGTCTGCGTACGCAATTTCATGGTTTATCTTTCTCCACCCAGTGTGCTATCCTGACGCAGTCTCCCTACCAGCCACACCAAGCCATCTATCTGGATTAAATTATGTATTCCCCTGCCCTCGCCACATGAGCTGCATAACAAACTGCCTGGCACTGTGGTGTCCTTTTGTTTCCCACTCAGATAAAGCAACCTTTAAACAGGGTCATTAATATTACGTGGTTCACTGATTCCTGTGAGCAGTTAATTTATATGTGAGCACCACTAAAAAGAAAAGTTATTTCATTTTGCTGTACACACATTCAAACACTGAATTGGGTGGATGTTTAAGTGGGTGTTTCTTCACAATAGATGCATTTTTAAAAAAAGGTGCCCACTGACTCACCCTGACAATGTAAGAGGCCCCTGGTCCTGCAATCTTCTTGTCAGGGTGCAGCCAGCCTTGAGAGGGTTTGTGGATGAAGCTACCTTTCTGGGTGAAGTCCTCTCCCCCTGGCCACATGCCTTCCACCCTTGTCCTGCGGTTCAGTCCTGACCTAGAGCTGCTGGAAACCCCAGGGCTCGCCATTGCCTCTGTGGCCCCAAACCCGTGGCACCCTGGACTGGCAGAGTTTGCAGCTGCAACTGCTCTCTGCCCTCGAATGGCCTGCAAGGAACAGGGGGTGACACAAACAGGGTCACAGGAGTTAAGCACTGCTGCAAGACTGGCCACTGGGCCACTGGCTGAGGTCGCACCACTGGACCGGTGTGATGATGAAGAATGGGAGATAGAGGCCTGGGAAGGGGCTGCTGCTGTTTTGCCTGAGTCCTTGCTAGAGCTAGAGCTGGAGCTGGAGTTGGACGGGCTCCGGCTGAGTAGGGAGTTAGAGAACTTCCACTGGGGCATCTTAGGGATGAGCATGCAGAAGGTAGTGGTGGCATCTTGATCCCCATCCAGGCAAGGGGAGTCGGCCAGGGCTGCAGCCCCAGCAGAGGAGGATGATCTGGCACTGGGATCCAGAGGAGGCAGGGGAGGCAGAGGAAGGCTCGGGGTGGAGGAGGGGACCACCGGTGTGGCCACAACTTTGCCGCTCATGGCTAAGCTCTGCATCAGGTCGTCAGAGGAGGTCACAGACTCGTTGCGAAAGCGGCCATACTTTGGCTTAAGGAGCATGCCCGGAGGAGTCGCCTGAAGCAGGAGCTGTGATGGGGGGGATAACTGCCAGAGGATGAGGAGGGGAAAGGGGAAAGGGGAAAGGGGAGGGGGGAGAGGTGTAATGGAAGCCGGGGAGAAAACTAGAGAGAAAATCTTCCAGGTGGAGTCCTATATCCTTGTCAACTGAACGCTGTCTGGTCCTCTCCCGTTCACACACACGCACACACACTGTCCCACTCTCATGCCACTCTCCTCTGTGTCTGAGCTGGCCTGCTTCCTTTCACTGCCTTAGGCATGCTCACTCTATGCTCGCAGTCTCTCTCTCTCTCTCTCTCTCTCTCTCTCTCTCTCTCTCTCTCTCTCTCTCTCTCCCTGGATGATGTCATTGGGTCTATTAGCCCTGCCCTGCCCGGCTGCTCTCAGACTGTATTAGCCAAAACACATCTGCCTGAACCACCCTACTCTCAGACAAACGCGTGCACACACACACACACATACACACACACACATACACACACATACGCATACACCCCACACTCTTAGAGGAGATTCTGTATGAATAGCCCGTGTCAGTGTACAGGCTAGGCTAGGTTAGCAGTAACGTTTCAAACGTCTCAAACTGTACAATGCTGTCAATGTATAAACTGAGACAACAACAAAATAAATATACTAAGGTTATCCTATAAATAGAATCACTCAAAGCAAAGTCAACACTCTTTTTCTCTCTCTCTACATAATAAATATTTGAATTTGTAAAGAATGTCCACTTGCTCTTTTTATGTTAATGAGGTGAGAAAACATTTGAAGAATAAGCAGGCATTCCTTAAAATAAAATAAATAGGTCTCAGTGTATTTTGTATTTTATCTGTTGATGTATTGCACTCATTTGTAAAAAGCATCTGCCATAACCAGTGTCATTAAAGGAATTTTATTAATGTGTAAGCTCAAATGTTTAGCCTAATATCTAATGGAATGTGTAATATATATATATATATATATATATATATATATATATTCTTAAAAAAAACGGTTGTGAATGTGAGTAAATAGCAGCATGAGTCTCATTCAAGTATTCAAGTAGCTAAAGAGCATTTTGTGTGAGTCTATGCGTGTGTGAGTGAGTGTGTAATTCCATTTGTCCTGGCAATAGACAATAACTTAACAGAGGCAACAATGCAGCTACACTCATGAGGGACTTCATGTCTGAAAACATCCACCCTATCCCATCTGTCTGAATTCTCTTCCCAACTTCCCTCCCATCTGCCCCCCAGAGAGCAATCAGCCATCTCAGCATGATCCTTTTTTCTCCTCGCTCGCACCCTCCCTCATGCCTTTTCCTCACTCCCTGTTTTCTAATTCACTATTTTTCAGTGAATTATTACACAAAGGTAACAAAAAGTATGCAGCAGCAGTCAGGATTCCCAATGTTTTCTTCTTTTTATGGTGGTCGAATTATACACACAGGTGGAAACAAATGCAAGGTATTAAAGGTATTATCATGTCTTGAATCATCCACCATAGCCACAGAGGTTATTCAGTTTTGGAAAATAAAAAAGAGAAAAGTGACATTAAATGCAAAATAAAAATGCCAAGAAGTCTTGGTGGTCAAAAACATGTGTCTGCAAATACACACAGATGTGAGCAATGTCTGCATTGATTGTGAAATAAGCCAATAGTCAGGGTCATCAGTTACGCAAAAAGAAAGTTAATCTATTGACTAAATAATACCACCTACGCAGACAAGGAAAGGATCATTAGGTTCTTGTCAATTGCTTAAATTTAATAAAGCAAGTCATTATGATTTGTTTCATCCCATAATCAGTTTTGACAGTGTTGTCTGTCCAACAAAATGTTACAGAAGTTACACAGTAAACAATGAATATGAGCAAACAAACTAAACTGATTCAAATGTGTTCAAATTCTGCACTACCCTGACTGCTATACAAGCGTAAACTAAAAGTTATTCAGAATGGCAACAAAGGCAGGAAGCTTACCTATATTCAGGCTCTGAGGAGAAAGAGGATGAAAAAAGATCCAGCTCAGTGAACTTTCAGTGACTTTTACAAGAGAAAAGCAATATGTTTGCCTCAGCTATCATAGTGCAAAAGAGCTGCAACTATGGTTGAATAAGAGAACAATTTAATTTCACTATAGTCAGGAGACCACATTACAACAAACCATACACACTGAGAAACCCACACAAACAAACCACCATCAGAAATGCCATGACACCTCTACCACTGCCATCCCACCTTCCTTCAAACAGCCAATCACTTCATGTTTGTTTGCGAAAGAGTATAAAAAGTTACTGATAAACCAGATGTAATCAGTGCATGTTGACAGATACACAGGTAGCTGGCCTTTCCTCTGTATGTTCTGTTCCCTTTTCTGTCAAAAAACAAATATCTGCTCTGGCAACATACAGAATAAAACAGATATGGACCCACTGTTCCTTCAAACCAAATTGAATGAAAGTGTTTAAACAAACAGATGCAACAGCAATAATATGAAGATGCTACAAGGTTTAATTTCCATAAATAACAATAGGTTAGGCTACTTTATTGCATCTGATGTTACACTACAGGTTCAATCACTCAATTATACTATGATTGTCTGTATGTGAAGAGTTAACATTTACCTCCTGACTTTGGTAGTTTGCATAATACAAGTGGAACAAATCATGCTTTGAATACACCACCACTCATTAGCAGCCATTACCTTGACAACAGTGATTACAACTAAGAACAACAACATAGGTTACTTGCAACACAGAATCCTCAAACCATACTGTTTGGTTAAAATGTAAAGACAGAGCTTATTTTTTTTACCGTATTACAAATCATTGACTGAGAAAAGTAAGCCTATATTTGTGTAGAAAATCTCTTAAGTAGAGCTATCATGATCTATCTTTATAGTGAGTGATCAAAGTCTAGTTTAGAAAATATTAAATGGCAAGACAAATTCACCTCCAGTCCCTGCATCAAATTCAAATCTAATATCACAATACAAAGATATAACTGAATACATAACATTGTTTTCCATACGTTTTTAGTTATTTTACTAAGACCTGCTCCAAAAAGCAATTATGATTATTACTAAATGCACATTATATTATTTTCTGGAATAATCCTTTGGTCTCTTACAAGTCAATGTGATCAGGAAAAAACATGCCCCATGCTGTTCTATCATGCAGTTCAAATAAAAGTTACAATTAACAATTCGGCAAGCAAAATTAACATAAAGTGAAGCAACTACATTAGCAAATACAAAAAATATGCTGGTATATGCTGAAAATATAACATCAAATGCTAGTTATACCTTTATACATTATGCTCAACAAAATATGATTTGCAAACCCCTCTATGTATGTTTTACCCACCGACTTAAATGCTTAGGGTCGATATTTAATTCCAAAATGGTTTGTGGTAACACCATATATATGATATGTTCTAGTATGATCGAAATTTTGCCTAAAATGCTCATTTTAGTAGATGAATTTACCACCAAATGTGTGCTTTTAGCAATACTTTGCAGCAAGGGCTGGCTCCTACGTCACGACGCAGCAGCCGGACGTAGTGTTCTCATTAAAACGCCTTTTCGCTTTCACGAAACATTTTCAAAAAACATGACATATCTTCCGTTCAAACGCCTTAAACTTATTTGAATTATATGACACAAAAACTGAACACTTGAGATAATACGTTAAATGTCATGTTTGTTTTTAAAGACTGTCCTGTATTGTTGCAAACCGCGTTTCCCCGTTGTACAGTTGTGCTTTCACGACCGAGTGCGTCATCTTCGCAGACATAGACGACCTACGCAGATGGAACGTCCACGTGCTTCTGCCTCGACCAATCCGGGGAGTGCGGGCAGCCGTTGGGGGTTTGAATTGTTCTGTGAAAACAGCGGCAGATGACAGCAGCTTGTTGCTAGTAACTTAAGTTTGTGAGCTAGCTACTACTTCACATTACCCCACCAAGAAAGTGCTTTATCTGGACTTCAGCCTTGACTGCTAACATCGACTGAAAATGTCGAAAAAACAGATTTACTATTCTGACAAGTACACCGATGAGGAGTTTGAGTACAGGTATGATTAACGTTTGTTTGGGCTAACATTAACGTTGTTTTCCGTTATTTTGTGTTGAGGAGCGTCAGTTAACTTAACGTCATTTTACGGAAATATTGGTTAAGTTCTCTCGACATAACACCAACGCCTGCTGGTAGGTTAATTTTGATAGCTGTGATTTAATATAAAGACAGTACTGAGTGAGCAAGTTAGCTATGTAGTGATTTAGCTTAGCGTTACATTGAATTTCGTAACTAGCATGACTCACAGCACTCAAACAAAACAACTCTACCACTTAACAGGTAGCCATGCTAACTGTTACCTAAACTTAATTAAAACCTTATGAGGACGATTAGTTAAACCGTAACGTAACTTACACTAGTAGTATCGTAAATTCAAGCTTTTGATAACCTAAAGTTACCTGAAATTGTCTTCCTCAACGTTAAGTTACTGCTTGACCAACTGCTTGTTAAATATGTGTTTTTGTGTTTTTCATTCTTAACAGTGTTATTTATCTTTCCCACAGGCATGTCGTGCTTCCGAAGCAGCTGTCCAAACTGGTGCCCACCTCCCACCTGATGACAGAGGAAGAGTGGAGGGGACTGGGGGTGCAACAGAGCCAGGGCTGGATTCACTACATGATCCACAAACCAGGTGAATAACTGTGGACTAAAAGGATATGTTCACGTTTTGTTTTTTTTTTCAGATCTTTTCTTAAAGGTCCAGTGTGTAACACTTATATCTATTGTCAGAAATGGGGTGTAATATCGCTAGGTATGTTTTCGTTAGTGTTAATCACCTGAAAGTAGGAGTCATTGTGTTTTTGTTATGTCAGAAAGAGACATTTTTATCTACAGACGCTGTAGGTCGCCTTCCATTGAGGATGCCGTGTTGTTTGTTTTGCAGCCACTGTAGTTCCTCCCACAGACTTCACAGCATGTTGTCAAATACAGAGGCAAGCAGTGTCCCTGCTAGATGCCACTAAATCCTACACACTGGTCCTTTTTAAAACAGTGCTCACAAGCCCACATGTATATTGAAAGAGCTATTGATCGGTGTAATCATTCTTTCTGTCCGTACTGATTGTGAAGTAGTCCTGTCTTATCATGTCTATAAGTAGGGATATAAAGATATGCTGAACTCAAGACTGGGGTTTTTTGTTTTTTTTTATAACAAAATTATCATGGAAATTTCTCAGACAAAATCGACAAAATATATTTTCTAATATATTTTCTAATTCATAACATCCCTTTTTTATTTCTGTGGAAGGATATAAACTAGCAAAACTGCCTATTTCCTTTTCTTTGTGAAAAGGAAACTGAAGTCTTTGCGCCTTGATACAATGATTGATGTGATGGCAATTCATTTTTCATCTCACCGATTTGAATCATCACATATTTGTATTGAGATTGAACTACTGCAACTCGCAATATATCTTCACATCCCTATCTACAGGAGACGAGGGACAAAATATACACTTCTTATTCTGTGCAAAAAGGCATGTTCATGCTCAGCCCAAGCAAATGTATGGTTTCAGGTATCTGACTTAGTCAGATCAAATGGGTATTTCCAAAGTTGTGGTATTTTAAGAACAAAATTTCCCATCATTCACGGCAGCTCAGCAGGGAAACAGTCCAGGGAAATGCAATGGTGGAATCCTGTACTTTAAAGACTGTAAATTTGGAAAATATCGGACTCCTTTGTTTTGACTCCTGAAGCCTCATTTTAACTTTAGCTCAGCTTTAGAATAGAGTTTTGTGCAGAAGGTGTATATTGTCCGCCATCTTTCTCTTGTAGTCTGCCGTGACGTAATCTCTTCTGTGTGTGTGTGTGTGTGTGTGTGTGTGTGTGTGTGTGTGTGTGTGTGTGTGTGTGTCACATGAAGAGATTATATATTAAGAGGAATGATTACAGTGACTGGTAACTCTTGTTTTACAACAAATGTACCTCAGCATGTGAGTACTGTGTAAAGGAGACATAAAAATGTGTGAACCTATCCATTAATGCGTCCTAGCATGTGCCATATTAGACTGTGATCAAAGCTGTATGCACATGGACCACAGCTATGTGCATGACACTGTACACTGTAACCAATTGTATTGTAGATGATGCTGACAAATGCTTCTTTGCTTTACTCTCCAGAGCCACACATACTGCTTTTCAGAAGACCTCTCCCAAAGGATTAAATGGGACCCATCTGTTAAATGCTTGCTATCATCTTTGCTGATTTGTATTGTCTTTGGAACCATACATCTCTCCTAAATACATCTCTACATATGTTCTTATTATTGTGTAGAACCCCTTAGTTGTATTGTGTGTTTTTTCTTTCCTTTAAAACTCCCTCAATTTTCAGAGGTAATGAGAGGCAAATAGTTTGATTCCACTGTGAATGATAACCTTATAAACAATATGAGGGTGAAAGTTTGCCTGTCAATTGTATATTTTAATACATTTTTAAATGTCTTTTGTTATGATTGATTTATTTACTGAGTGGTCATACATGTTTTATTTTTCTCAAGCCCATGATTTTCCTAAACAAAACTCTTTCTTAATCTTTAAACTTTTTATTGTGTTGTGTACATAATATTATTTCTAGATATTATACATTTTGACAGTGAGTCATGGTTGATTCAACAAGTTCTTTGTTGCCGAAAGAACAAAATAAAATGTACTTCTTCACATATGTTTGCTCATGATTTGTTTTCCTACCATGTTAATTACTGAATTATTTTTGTGGGAGTGGGTGACATTCAGTCAGAAACATTGACAACTAGTGGAGTAACAAATTCTGAGTGTCTGATGCCCAAAGAGTAGGCTGGTGCCCGAGCCTTGTGAACAGTCACTTTCTCTGGATTATAAGTCCCAGGACCGGGTTTCTTGGTGCCATCTCTGGTTAAATTGTGTCGTCCCAGCATGGAAAATGCTGGCTGTCGGGGTAGATAAACACTTGGGTCTGTACTGTTGTACCTGCAAGGCCCTGGCGTCTTGGCTAAATCCACAGATGGTCCCCCTGTGCTGTAACTACCTGACATTGTATAGCTTGCACTGGCTGGCTTGTTTGGGACTTGAGGGCCCATGAGCGGAGGGAGACAGTACTTGTTAGGAGCAGGTACTGAGTCGATTCCCCTGTAGTGTGTTCGAGAGCTCATTGTGTAGGACGGGGGTCTGCGCTGGAGGTTGCATGGTGGGGCTTTCTCTGGGCTGTATGCACCTGGTCCAGGTGTCTGGAATAGCTCTTCTAGTGAACAGAAAACAGTCGAATAATATAAACCATCTATTCAACACCATATGTTCTTAATGGGGGTCAGATTTTCAGTTGCTACAGCTGACACTGGATCTCTTGAAGTAATGTCAAAAACAAATGTTTGTGTACAAGGGTTCATCCTGTCACAATAACAGCATTATTAGTTACTAGTTCATCATTATAACATACATTAATGTGTTAAACAAATGATACACTCATTTTACTATTATGAATTGGAACTTACTCTCTGCTTTCATTCGGCCCAACATTGAGTATGCAGGTGTGCCATCCCGTCCAAAACGAGTGATTTTTGCATCAATATGATACTGAGGCCCCGGACTTGAGTCAATACAATACACTGCAGGGATTAAATACACAGTTATGATCAATTCTATATAATGTCTCCTGTTAGGGCGATCATGCAGTGGTCCTAAAACAAACCAGCTAGATAAACACAAGGTGTAAGAAATAACTTCAGAATTATGAGGTGTTGTCGCCCTCTACTGGCTTTAATCTGACATTACATCACTTAGGACATATACCATTCAGTGATTTAGCTCATATTTGAGGAGATTAAATCATTCTGAGTCTGAAAAGATGTAGTCATCAATACATAATTGTTCCTGCTATGCTGGTTTATTAGCTATGGCAAGATTTCCTTGCGGGAGTCATCCCAAAGGGATCAATAAAGAGAAGTCTAAGTCTAATATATGTCTTTGACCAAAACAATATCAATATATCAGTGTTAAATTACATAAGGGGTATGGGTTAGGGTTAGACATAATACATGCTTCCTGTAACAAATGCATCTACATATGATAATCTAAACGTTAGAGAAAGAGATGAAGAACTCACTATTGTCACTCATCCTGCCATGGAAAGAATAGGCAGGGCTAGTTGGCTTGGTAAAATCATGGCCAACAAATCCAATGGTGGGAGGAAGCCCATAACGTCCAGGTCCTGGCCCTGGAGAAAGGGGGAAATATCACACACACACGTACACATTATATAATATAAAATATATTTAGGGTATGTAGTGAGGGAGATTTAAAGCAGTAAGAGTTCTTCTGCAGCTTTGTGTATAAAAAACTGAGCTTCTGTGCAGTTTATTTCAGCATCAGTCAGTGAGTAATAATAAGGATGCAATGTCCATTCATTTTACATAACTGTGACCACTTATTTGACCATCAGATGAACTCCAGTATAAGTAAAATGTCATCATTCTGCTCAGGGACCTTATAACTAGAAGCAATTAGCCTGACTTCATCTGATTGTTGATTTATTGTGTTCACTGGGTCAGACAAACAGCTAGAAAGCAAGACGCAGCACACATCAAGACACAACCTAGGGCAAGGAATTACATCACCATACAAGTGTTCAGGGGCATGTGCACAAGCAGAGCAAGTTGGAGCATTTTTCACAGATGAGAGCGAGTCCTGGCAGGTCTGCACACTGACAAATCCTCTACTCTGCTCAAGTCACTGTTCCCCCATTGAAATCATAAATTAAAAAAACAAGTGACCAAAAATGACCCACTGGAACATAACTAATGATATTGATGCCTTTACACAGGGCATACAGTTTTATACTGATGGAATAGTTTTTTGTAAGGACTCATCTACCATTGATGAACTTACCTTTTTCTCTTCCTGCAATTACTGGGTATTTTTTCTCCATTGGACTCATTGTAGAAGAGGTGAATGCTTCAGGAATCCCTCAATGATAGCAATACTACCAAAATATTCATACAGCATGTCAATTGTATCAACAAGACGCTGGCTAAAGAAATAATATAATATAATGACTGACAAATAATAATAATTTTTTTGAAAAGCTGCAGGTAATTTGCCCTTTCAGCCAGATACGAGGCAGGCTGCATACTTTGAAATACAATCGTGAGATGAGCTTCAGAAGTGCACCTGACTCCTTAATCCATATCCATCCATGGTGGTCTTTCTTCAGATATCACAGTATTATTTCTCCATGGATCCAGCTCCACCCATGCCCTGGCTGACACTGAAACCCAGAATCCTGGACGATCCAGAATCAATCCCTAATTTCCTCTGAAAACAATCAGGAAACCTGACACGCTTAATACATATCAAAGTGTCAACAGCACAGCAGACTCTACACTGGATAGGGTTTTCTCTCTGCCTGTTTGTCCCTTTGTCTAAATGTTCCATCTGTGGTGGCTCAGACAGGTGAATAGCCCTTCCTCCACAGAGGTGGATGTATAGGTGCACTCAGCTGGTACTTAGGAACAATGTCATCACTCCGATTCACTCTCATGTAATGCTAGCTCCCCCCCACAAACCATGAAACCAAGATCCCCTTCTCCCTCCTTTCTCTTTTCACTCTTTCTGCTCATCGCAGTGTGGAGACGCAATATCACTCTTCAGCCATGCATGCGGTTGCTATAGAGACTGCTGTGGATAGTGTGCTGCAGCCAGGTCCCCTGCACTGCTGGCTTCTTGTCACAACAGGAACAAAGTTTTTCCACTTGGACTGGAGGAGTAAATCCTGCTGCATCTGCTCAATGGGTGAAGTTTTTGTGAAGTTCTGTAACTTTTACCTCCAAATTTACCTGAAATGTGAGCACATGCACAGCACTGCTTTGACACTGCACACACTGTTGTTTGCATTTTCTTGATGGATGCCAGGTCGGATACAGTGCAGCACACCTGGAGCAGTTACAGGCCAAGTACCTTTATCTGGTCGGCCCCATTGACGTGCCAACATACAACCCTCTGGTTTTTCATCTTTACCTTGAGGTCAAACTACCCAGATGCAGTTACAGTTTAGCTCTTTCATCTCCTCTAATCCCAGCAATGATTTGTAGTTGGGATTTGAAGGACTCGTTTAAAGGCCCAAGTTACCAGACGCCATAGTAACTGAGAGGGTCGACAAGTGACATGTGCAGAAAACAAACATTAAACTTTAACAGGCTCAGACTCTCTCCCCCCCTGCTGCCCTGGTAACCCGAATCTGTTGTTAGCAGTTACACAAACACATATGGAGCACATTTAAACTGAAGAGATGTATACAGCGCGTATAAACTGATACACACACGTACACGCTTTTCTGTCTCAAACACAGAAGCATGCCAGGGGTCAGAGAGTCAGTTACCAAAGCATACGGCCCTCTGAAGCAGCAGGGTTGTAATACAGCTCACTGCTGACAGGAAATTATCTCCAGACTTAACTAGCCTTTCAAAGGAAATGGAGCAACACAGCTTTCATAAACAACTGCACTGCATCTCCTCTTCTAGTGTAGCAGATAGACGTACTGCGCCGCATCTGCAGAGATCGTACTGTTCTAAAAAGTAACAAAAGTATTTCTTTGGACAAGCTGAAACAGAAGCAGGAATTGCAATATTAATTAATCCCATATTAATGACTAGACACGTGAACCACTCTGCTTAATAACCACAGCCTCAAAACTTGAGTTAAGAGCATCAAGGCAACAAAACCAAAAACCTTGGATTGTATACAAATTTTATTCTCGTTTGTTTTAAAAAGCACAATATTTGATATGAATAGGGGCTACATTTAATCAAATTTGGTACATTTACAGAAATTCAAAACTTCATTCTTGATTTTTAAGTTGATTGCTTCACGAATCAAAATTTAACAAAAACAAAATAGCTTATGAACTGTACAATCAAATCTCAAGGTAGGTAAGGTGAAAGGTGACTTGAGAGTAGATGATGTTGGTGTCTTGGTACGATGGTTCAGGAAAACATTTGGGCCGGTGTGTCCTAGTGGTCAAAAGACGCATATCTTGTAACTATAAAGTTTGTGGTTTGAGTCAGCCAGAGACCTGCCAGTCAGTCCTCTTCTCTTTCCTTATATTTCCTGCCAATCTCTACTGTGCTGTCTAATAAAGGCAAAAAATGCCCACCAAAAATCTTAAAAATGAAAAACATTTGAGCTTATGTTTCTGTAAAGCATATGGTTAGCATATGTCTTTTTCCAGCAGGACACCAGCACAGGAATTTCAATAATTGGGTTAAAGCTTGCTATGAAAGGAAAAAAAATACCTTTGACAGCACAATACCTTTGTTTGAACTCAAAGAACCACAAGGGCAAAAAAGTGTATGGGCGGGCAATGACAAAAAAAATTAAAAATAAAAATGATATGACCTCTAGCTACAAATAAATACCACAGATAGAAAATATAACAAAATATTTTGCTTAAAGTCAGGTGTAATTACAAACATAAATACTTGATTATTTCTTCTAGTGATTATAAAGGCAGTACAGTGAATAACAAAGACGCTATGGTGCCTATTGGTGACTAGGAGTCTGGAGGAAGAAAAATTAAAGTCTGGAGGACACTAGCGTCATAGCAGTCACACACAGTCACACACAGTCACACACAGTCACGCACACATGTATAAATGCATCCACACAGACTCCACTCAAAACACTTCATAACATACACTCCACGTCACACTCTCATTCTCCAGACTCCACCATCTCTTCCTTGCAGGCTGAGCAAAGTCCCAAGTCTTTCTTCTCTTTCCATTCACTAGCATATTCACAAATAATGTACAATTTGGAGGTGGGTATGGCTTCACTCTGAGCGTTTCTGTGGACGACAAGAAAACAAGAAACACTTTCATTACAGGATCATTTCAGAAATCTCTTTCCCTGAGCAATCTGTAACCAGAACCTTTGGAAAGGCTGTTATTTAACTGCTCTACCACAACAGCTCTTTCTTTAACTTTATAACCGGGGACAAAACATCATACCTCTAAATAATTACCCATAAAAGCTATTGATTGGTTGATTGATATGACTACTTCTGACCAAATGATATAGCTGTTTAGATGGGACATCAGACCTCAGTTCAATGATCCTACCAACAGGTATTGTCTGTATAACCAGCCAGATAACATTACTAACATTACCTTTGTGCCATAGAGAGCTTCATTATTGTCCCAAAACTATTGAAAACACTAATAGACCTTTTCATAGCAGCCATTTGACATGGAATAGTAGGGTAAATACAGGTGTTACCATTATACAAATTAAGGATCTTAAGATTTGCTTTCGTAGGAATGCATGTTACAGAATGCTATAGACGGGGAAGTAACCCACAAATTCTGATTAAAACCCCCTAAAACAAAACGAACACAAAACATTGATTGAGCAGCTCGTACCATCGCTCAGGGGTGTTTTTTGTGTCCAGTGTGGGTAACTGGGTATCTGCTGGCAGGAGCACCTTCTGCTCTATATCCCCTCCACCTCCAGGAAGGTCAAAATGGTCCCCTCCATCTGCATCAGCAAGGAAAGGCTCAGAGTCTGGGTCGTATTCATAGGAGTAGTAGGACACCTCTGCCATGGACCCCTGCTCCTCTTCACCTGAGAGCGGGAATGGGGTGAATATTGGAGACACATTAAACCAAATAAGAGCCGGTAGAGACCAGGCACTGATGAGGTAGCCGTCGTACGGTTGATCACAACATCTGATATACGATGAAGTACTTGATTCAGTTGCTGTAAATGAAAGAACCGGGTGTCATGGAGACTTAAACCCTGTGGAGTCTGACCACATGGGTCCCGTTTTTGTCTGAGAATGCATTTGCATGCAGGTGAGCTGATACACATTCCTACCAATGGTGTTATTCTACTTCATTGATCTATAGGAACGCACAAATAAACACAGTAAAGCACCAGCAAAGGCAGGAAAGAAGATGGCAGAAGACATCAAACATGGACGTAAAGTTCATTTTAAACTTCTAACAAAAATCATCTTCGCATTGTTTAGGATTAAGAACATGCCTCAACCTGTTTGTTAGACCTCAAGGATACACACAATGCCCTCTGGTAAGAAAAACTAAATGTAAACATAACTTTTTAAACAACACCTTTAATATCCTCTACATCTGAAGCTCTTGCAGCAATGCCCCCTCACAGACAGTAGGGGTCCCTCCCTGCTTAAAATGTTGTATTCTCACATAGCATGCTACTTAAAAAAAACACAAGTACAATCAGATTTTGCTTCTTTAAAGTTTGTGGAACACAACTGACTTTACGGTGAGAACCAAACACACACACAAATAATATGTACACACTGAATCTCAAAGTGGGAAATTAAAAGTTCACATGCTTAAAGTGCATGCACATAAAGGCAAATGTCTTCTTGAATGAAGCCAGCATGTCTGTGTATCCATTATATTGTATGTTGTCCTCTGGTACAAGTTCACTAATAAGACAAGTCTGCACAGGGAAGCTAATTCCAGAGCTTCAGCTTCCTTCACTGTTCCACTGGAAACTGTCATTTCCTTGGCACAACCCGCCTTCACCTATTACACTCTCAGTGCACTTAGCGGGCATATCGTCAACATTATAATGGTTTACAATGACTGTGTTTTTACAGTACTTATTCAATCTAATCATCCCAGGGTTATCATATTGTAGGTGAGTGTGTGTGTGTGTGTGAGAGGGCGTATTTGCCTGTGTGAACATGCAATACGTGTATGTGTGTGTGCATATATAGATATATATGTGTGTGTGTGTGAGTGCATAACAGCATTCCTGTGGTGAGTGTGAAGCGTTAGCTTTTGTACTACGAAGACCTTTGACTGAGAACAGCTTTGTGAGCTGCAGCTACCGGGAGCTGCAGGCTGGGAAACAAGTCAGTGCAGGCTGTGCCATATCACACACACATACACATGCACATGCACACACCAGTACACAACTCAAACATCCATATAGGCAGAGCTTAATGTTATGTATCAGTAACAGCTCACATATTACCACATGCACTGTATGCACACTTCTGCAACTTGTGAATGACGGCAGTGCCTTTATATGTTTTCGTTGCCAAATGTAACACAGCCACATCCTCCCTCCAGACGCAGCCAAACATCCTATCAGGAATTCTTTGGCTGCCTCTCTGGAAGTGGCAGCTGATCTAAGCTCATGGCAGAGCAACAATCAAGCCTGCAGTGTGAAACCTATCCACCTATTTATCACACCGATTGTAGACATGATGTGGTGGCAGGGGAATGTGCTGCCACACACCCACCTATGTATCTACTTTCTTCTTTTTCTCAAATCTCTCTCTTTCTACTCTGCTATTTTTTCTCTCTTTCTTCTTTCATCTTGTCTCCAGCTCATCCCTCTTTGACTATCTTTCTCCCCCATTTTTTCAGTTTTACACTCACACTTTCATCTCTTTTTCTCCCTGCCCTTGTGAACTCCCATTCTCCACAATACAAAAGGAAACACACAACTGGTGGAATATGACTGAAATCTTGACTGTACATTTAAATTTAGCTGACACAGGAGCACATATTGA